CTTCTTTGCTTGAACTTTAACAGCAAATATTGAGAAAAAACCTATACAGTAAAATATTAAAATTACAATGTGATAAAAACAACTAAAGTTAGATTTATCTTTATGTACATCAGCTATTAACTGTATTTGCTAAATATTTAAAATAATTTACAACCATTTGCCCCTCCCCCAAATTGTTGTATTTTCATTATTTATGAAATTCAACTTTTCAATAACATAACTTGGAAAAACATCAAAAATGATAACAGTGACCAAGTAGTTGAATAAACACATTTCATTAACTCACCCAACTTTGTCTTTTCTACATGACATCAATTTTTTAAGATTCTTACATTATTAACATTTCAATCTTGGAAGACATTTATGGGGTTAAAATGGAGAGTGAAATAAATGGAAAGCTGAAATGTGATGCCTTCTGTTTCTGCTTTATTGGAAGAGAATCAAATACTAAATAAGGCCTTTAGCAATATGATATTTCTGGCCAAATGATGGATATCATGACTTTTTGTTGTTACAAAAGGAAGCAATTTATTTAACTTCTTTCTTTCCTCCCATTCTTTCTGGTTTATTAGGCTCATTTCATTTCCATAAATTATTCCACTAAAAGAGGAAATGATTAATTGAAGATTGCTTCCTTAAAAATATTATTTCTTGTCATTAACAGCTGCAACATATTGTAACATTGTTTTATTCAAAAACACTGTGGTGCATTTAAAATTATTTTAATGTTTGTTGTTCTCTCAATTATTTTGCTCTAAATATTCAATTCAACCCATGAGAATTCATTATGCAAATTTAACAACTAAACCCTTCTTGTCTACTGGTAATTTTCATTACAAAAGTTTGTATTCAAAACAGTTGCTTTCTAAGTGTGAAATGTATTTCTAAATGGATTACAATGAAATCACTTTCTTTCTGGAAATCTTCAAGATAACACATTGGCAAGGACATCCTTTAGAGATTTAGGTGCCTCTGGAGATATTAGCCTGTATTCTTTGATTTATCAAATTTCTTTCTCTTCTTATTATCCCATATTTGGAATTTTTTTTATTCTGGAGTATACTTGAATAGTCATCATTTTCTCTCACATTATCTCAAATCAACTGTTGTAACATTCTAAAACTTAACAAATTTAGACTATTTTAAATGTTTAACAATGCATTCTGTCATAATCAGGGTTATATACCTTATGCCCTTTCTAATTGATTACATTTTAAATTATTTTCAATAAAACTATGGTAAATCTGTCTTGAGGATGTCAAAGTTCCATGAGATTTTAGCTTTAAATACAGGGTAAATAGTTGCCTAGATTTGCCATTCAGCAAACTTCAGCCAAGGGTTAATGACTGTCTTATAGAATGTATAGTTTGGAGGAAGATAGCTAGATTAATAATTAATTCTAATAAGTAAACTACAGAACTGTAAAGATATATGCAAAACAATATGCTAGGAAGCATAAAAGAGAAAACAATTTCTTTTTTGATGGTGGAGGAGCAAGATTGATGTTGGAGAGGAGTTCATAATTTATCTAGTATGAATTCTCAATAAAATATTCTAACTTTTGAATGAATTAACAGTTCAAAATATTAAAAGAACAACCATGACAATAATACCACCTTACATATTTATGATTATTTCTGTATTCAGACATTATATTGTTATTTTTATGTAGATATATTTTATGAACAAGAAAGAAAATATTTTAAAGGGTTATAAGTATTTTGTTATGTATAATTGTTAAACAAACTAATAGATTTCATACAATTTGCAATTATTTGATTAAATACAAATATAAGATAAAGATAGTGATAATGTCACATAGGCAAAGAAAGTATGCTGACAGAGAACAAAAACAGTCATGCAGGAAAAACATATCAAGAAGTTATAAGGGCCCTCGCTGGTTTGGCTGAGTGGATAGAGCATTGGCCTGCAGACTGAAGGGTCCAAGGTTTGATTCTAGTCAAGGCACATGCCTGGGTTGCTGGCTTGATCCCCAGTAGGCAGGAGGCAGCTGATCAATGAGCCTCTCTCATCATTGATGTTTCTATCTCTCTCTCCATCTTCCTTCCTCTCTGAAATTAATAAAAATACATTAAAAAAAGAAGTTATAAGGGTAAGACATAAATTTTACTAAAAGATTTTTTGGTCAATGTAGAAGGGGAAATATGATCAACTGATGAGTCACAAAGTACATTAAAAATTAAATTGTTCATGAAAATCTAAATAATTCCTAAAAAAATTACACCAGAAAGAAAATGTTTTCTATCACCTGGGAGATCTTGGAGAGAAACTGAAAACTAAGCAGGTTTCTCAGGACTATTGGGAAGGTTACCCCAAAACTCTTTATGGACCAGATAGTATGATTAAATTAATTGAGAAGACAACTTAGTGATTTTTTTAAATGCACCTAATTGCTAATATATTAATAGTAAAGCCTCTTCTTTCTTATTATACAAGATACATTGGTCTTAGCTTTGGGGTAACTAGTCTACGAAAGTATTAAAAAAGTTCTATGTTTGAAATCAATAACTTCCTTATACCTTATATTTCTATAGCTATTTATAGTAACATACATTAGGTGAGAGACAAGTCAACAAGGCCTGGGAGTCATGGTTGGTAAACCAGAAGATAGTGGCTCACCTTGTTTGTTTCTGAATCTAGTAGACTTTTTTTCTGTGTTGTCATGCTGTCATGTATCTTAGGATTTCATGAATATTTAGAGCTGGGATGAAAAGTCTCTTTCTAAAAGTAAAATGATTTCTTTTACTAAATTAAAACTTTCTTTTTTTACTTTTTTAAATTTTATTGGTGTGAAAACCATTTTAACAAAATTTTATCAAAAATTAACCATTTTAACAAAATTTAAGTGTGTGGTACAGCACTGTTAATTATAAGTACAATTTTGTACAGCAGGCTCAAAATCTTATTTCATCTTGCAAACTGAAACTATATACTCATTGAATAGCAACTCCACACCTCTTTTCCCTCCCACTGCTGGCTACCACCATTCCACTTTCAGCTTCTAGGAATTTGATTATTGTAAATACCTTGTATACTGATAAGTAGGATCATACAGTATTTGTTCTTCTGTGAGTGGCTTATTTCCCTTAGCATGTCCTTAAGATCCATCTAATTTGTTGCTTATTGCAGATTTCCTTCTTTGTTAAGGCTGACTAATATTCCAACTTAAAGGATTTCTAAATCAAAAAAAGTTTAAACTGCACAGCAATTAGCAGGAAAAAGATATTCCATGTAAACTGTATTGACCTCTGTGACAATGCATTTTAATGATTCGTGGTAGCTCCTGAGTCAAAGAAGACTTTCCAGCAGAGAGATTCAATTTCTCTCCATCCAGGGAAGCAGATGTCTTACAAACTAACAGAGCAACGTGTGCCATATCTATTCAATCACTAGTAATTTCAGCGAAAAAATACTACCATATTCAATGTCGATATTGAAAAAGATATATATCTCCACTATGGAAAAAAGTGACTTCAAATAGATTAAATTCTGTTTCTTTACATTTCATTCATTTCTTGTTTTTTTTTTCCTATTTCTAAGGGGTTGATCTTTTAAGTAAGACGGGACAGACACTTCTCTATATTAAAAAACTTGTATTTCACACCTCCATCTATAGAGGAAAAGGCACTGAAGTTGACATTCCTAGAAATAGCAAATGGAGGCAGAAGGTTGATTCTAGGCAGGGTGAGACTGAGAGATGGTGGACATCGGCCATGTACACAGGGATTAGATGGAAGGGGGATTTGGAAAGTTTTACATCTAATGAGAACAATCATATTGTGCCTGACAAACAAAAGTACTCATTTTGATTATAAGGAGAGTAAAACTGTCAAAGTGATGCCAAAAAAGAGGCGGGGGGGGGAGACTTTTAAATGAAAAATCTAGCTAAGTTTGAAATAGAGAATAAAAAGTTTTCATCTGTCTCTTACTGTCAGCCCTCTATGCATATGAAAATATATTTATTATTTTCTAAGTTAATATAATGAGTTCCAGACTGTGCAGGATGTCATAATGGAAACAGGATTATACAAGATAATAAGGAGGATTTCTTTTACTCTAAATGAGTTTTACCTACACCCCCTGTGTCATACTTTTGATCTTAACTGTGTTTCATTTACCACATTGAAGGAGGTTACATAAAGGGTAAAATAATAGAAACTTAATCAGGAAACAGGATTTCTTATTGTTGCATTTTATTATCGACTCTTGCCATATCTTTACTCTGATTCTTAAAAATATTGAAAGATGTGTCATTTTAAAATAAGAAGAATTGAAACCACATGGCGTCAGAATTGATCTTTCCTCTGAGCCATCCCAACCATTTCACACCAAAATAAGAACAATTGAAACCACATGGCGTCAGAATTGCGCATCTTTCCTCTGAGCCATCCCAACCATTTCACACCAATTGATCTTCAGAACAAACCTGTGGATTATTTGGGAGTTATTGGCAGGGAGTATAAAATTCCTGAACTCTACCTTTTGTAAAATACTAGATAAATATTGGTTGGTAAATTTAATTTTACAGATAAAAAACAAATACAGAGAGGCAAAATCTTGTTTTCAAAGGCCTAGTTGAATAACTTTACTGCTGGAAAGTATTATAATATGAACTGGCCCCACTGATCAGAGCATAGAGTTTTACAGTGAAAATCATTTCTTAGAGAGAGTTATCATGGCATCTAAAAATGTATAGTTATACTGCACATATGACAGATTTTATTGTTGTCATGCTATTTTCTGGTAGACAAATATCGGCACGTGGCTTATATAATCCATACCAAAGTAATGTCTATTTTGATAAGCACTTGGGTTCTGAAACTTTACATCCTTGACATTTCTGTCATCCACAATCAATTTGAAAAAGACTCCCAACTTGGCAATAAATTTATCTCTTGAATTTCCAAATAAGTAAATACATTGAAAAGTTGAGTTGATTTCTCCAACATTTCTCATTTCATTTCTTCCTCCCTGAACAGATAAGCACCATGGCCACAGCCTTGAAGAAAGAATCATCTACGGGGTAGAAAACAGCAGCACGTTCCTGGAATGCAGCCCAAAGTCACAGCGAGCTCTGGTCTATTGGCAGTTCCAGAGGCGAAATGAAGAGCGAAAAGAAGAGGTATAGCAATGAAACCGAGTGGCTATTGAGAGGGGGAGTGCTGTGCATCTTTATCCTTTTCTTCACTCAATAATAGCTCATTCATTAAATAAGTACTCATTGAAGGCTGATTATATTGCAGGCTTTGTGCTAGGAGTTGGAGAAACAAATGTGAGTTTTGTCTCAGAAGCCATTGTGGTTATATTTTAGAATCTTCTTTCTTCTTTCTGTAGTTATCTACAAAGCAGTTATGTATATTTGTTGCTGTGGTCGGTAAACTGCAGCTCGCGAGCCACATGCGGCTCTTTGGCCCCTTGAGTGTGGCTCTTCCTAAGCCTTAGGAGTACCCTAATTAAGTTAATAAAATGTACCTACCTATATAGTTTAAGTTTAAAAAATTTGGCTCTCAAAAGAAATTTCAATCGTTGTACTGTTGATATTTGGCTCTGTTGACTAATGAGTTTGCCGATCACTGGGAAAAAACAAATCCCCCTAGTAATTTTAATTTTTGTTCAATTAATTCTGCTATCTAAATGTGTGTGTGTGTGTGTGTGTGTGTGTGTGTGTGTGTGTGTGTGTGTGTGTGTGTGTTTTCTTCATTAACTTCCACCTCCAATGGAAAACGCAGGTTTGGGAAAGGGAGTGGTAGATTTATGATGAAGTATGTAAGGTCCCAGTATGAACTCTCATATGAACTTGGCATGTAGCATCAGACAGAGCTTCCTCCTCAATGGATACATTTATTCCTCTGTAAAAATAAAGAATTGTGCATAGAAAATATCAGTGAAAACTCTGAGCTTTCTACAAGCATTAAATAAGGGTAACCAGACTATGAAGGTTATTTTTAAATGTATTATGTGCAGACAATTTTATAAACATAATCTGAATATAAAGGCAAAAATTATCCCATTATCTTTTTTGACATCTGAAGCAGTCTTTAAGTATGCAATCACATCACACAAATGTCAAGGTTGGTTTTGTTTGTTATTGTTAGACATCTCTGGTAGAAATTGTATTCAAAATAAAAGTGAGATTAAATAAGTTCAAGAGCATATCTGCATGGTTATGTCACATCTGAGACTTAGGAAATGGAATAAATAATTATTAAGCTTGTAATCCTACACTTTTTCTACTTGCTCCATTGCTAATTTTTGTGTTTTATTTTTTTCAAATCTTACTAAATGTTCATTCTAATGCTGCATTGTTTTCTACCATCATGGTTCTGCATTTCCAATTCCAATAGTTAACGTTAACTTTCTCCTATATTTATACGCCTTCTTTCAAATGTACAAAATAAAGTATATATTTGTACTTTCCTCCCGTTACCTTGAGTATTTTAAATTATTGTAATGAGAAAGTTTATTAAAACCATAGGGAGCCAGTGTTTTGCAATGCATCTTAAAAAACAATTGACAAATTTATAACTCTTTTTTCTGATAGGAAAGTGGTAGCGTATCTCTTAAGCTAGAAACTTTAAGTGTTACAATGTGCCTCAACACATAATCTAAATTTTTACAGAGATAGAGTTTCAGAAATTACATTTCTTTTACATACATATATATTTTACTGCCTTCTTGTTCCTTCTGCTAGATTAGAGTGGACGATCACATCATCAGGACAGAACAAGGCCTTCTCCTGCGTAGTCTACAGCGGAAGAATTCAGGCAACTACCTGTGTCATGCCGTGGAACACGGATTCATGCAAACTCTTCTTAAAGTGACCCTGGAAGTCATTGACACAGAGCATTTGGAAGAACTTCTTCATAAAGATGATAATGGAGATGGCCCTAAGACCAAAGAAATGTCCAACAGCATGACACCTAGCCAGAAGGTCTGGTACAGAGACTTCATGCAGCTCATCAACCACCCCAACCTGAACACAATGGATGAGTTCTGTGAACAAGTTTGGAAAAGGGACCGAAAACAACGTCGGCAAAGGCCAGGACATGCCCAAGGGAACAGTAACAAATGGAAGCATTTACAGGAAAATAAGAAAGGTAGAAACAGGAGGACCCACGAATTTGAGAGGGCACCCAGAAGTGTCTGAGTTTCATTACCTCTAGAAACCTCAAACCAGTAGAAACTTGCTTAAGACAGTAACTGGAAAAAATGCAATATACATGAACTTTTTTCATGGCATTATGTGGATGTTTACAACGGTGGGAAATGCAACTGAGTTCCACCAATTATAAATTAAGTCCATGAGTAACTTTCCTAACAGGCTTTCTTCCTAATGCCAACACATAATAGAGGTCAGGTGAACACAGATGTTCCCTGTAGCAGTCTTAACGTTTCCTATGGGATTTCACTGTACAGGTTTTGCTTTCTTTGCCTGAGAAATAAAAATGTCATTTGCCATATTGCCATATAAAGAAGAAAAATTGCATCAGCAAAGCCATTTTATTTAACTAAAACTTTAAAATAAACTGCATGGATTTACTAAGCTGATGAATATTCCAAAACGTGGTTGGATTCATGGATATTTCTGTCTACCAGCACTCCCGTTTATATGTACTGGAGGAGTAAAATGATACTGAATGAAATGGTCTGTGGAAATATGAAAAACATAAACCATCCATCATCCAGAAGAAAAATGGAATACACTGATCTACTACTGATGTCTTCTTTCAGCTTTGATCTAAAGATGTATTTTATTAAAACTATAATTTAAATGTACCATGACAAATATGCAGTAAAATTTAGCTCTTTCCTAAGCTAGAGTAGGTTTTTGTCTTACAATTATTGTGCTATATAGTTTTTGCTTTAAAAATACCAATTCTGTGCTGCTTTCTATTTCAAAATTTTGTTTTCTGTTCTGCAAGAAGGAGAGCCAATAATACTGTTTTAGAAATATATACACATCATTAGAAGTTAATTCCTAAAACCTGGATAAATTATGTTTTATTTTTCTGGGATTTCAAACAAATAACACGTCTCCTTCTTTAAGTATTATCTAAATTAATTTTAACCTGCATAATGTTCTTGGAAAAACAGAACAATTAATCCCCCCCAAAAAGGGAAGAAAAAAATGATATATTAAATGCATTTTGTTGTATCTAATGAATAAATGAGGGGAAAAGGAGCTGCATATTTCTTAAAATTAATAAGCATTATCTTAATATAATATTAATAGAAAATGTCTCTTAATTCTGAGCTTGAATCCCTGCATGATATTTGAGACATAAGAACTCTCTCTCATGATTCCATTAGGAATTATACCTGTGCCACCTAATATTTTTTTTAAAAGAGAAATCAGTAATATTAAGAACACTATCTTAAAAGCAAATTTCTTAACTCTGTTTACGTCTGTATCAACTGCCTCTTATTTCTCATTAATACAGTTATGTCTAAAGAACATTAATTCTTTTCATGTCAGTGGTAGTGACTTTTATACAAACTGTTTTCCAGGACACAATCCACACTTAAAACATGTAAAACTCTTTGTCTCTTGCAACAACTTATAAAAGAAGGTAATGATTGTTAACTAAGCACTTGCCTGCTTTATTGTCCTAAGATGATTCCTTGAGAGTCATTGACTTCAAGGCACATAGAACCATGAGCATTACAGTAATTTCTTTTGCACTGCATTCCCCTTGCCAGAAATCCCTCCATAAGCCCTTCAACATGCACAAAAATGCAAAAGAAGCATCCTATTGCTACTTAATGAGAGCAGCACTGAAATTCTAACTCTGCCTTGGGATTCTAATGAACTCAGCTTTAACTTCTCACCTCCGACTACAGTGAATTTTCTAAAATTTCTCTATCAGCTGAAAGTTTTCACAGACTGGAGCTCATGTTACAGTTTTAATGATTATGTTGAATAAACAATTTGTTGACACTTGTTTCGAATGAAAGCCTAAAAATATTCAACAATTTTAGGCTCCATTGATGAATACAGTATTACTTTTAGAAGTACATCCTCTAATGCTATCTGAATTTTAAATTATTTGAAGAACACACTCATATAGAGAGAAAAAAAGTGTAAAAGGTAAATCAAAGAACAAAGAGTATTCCACAAATAGGTCGTTCTTTTATTTTTATAGAGTACCTTAACTGTACTAAAATTCGGTGTTGCATTTCATTCTATATTTGCAACTGAAACAAATTTATTCTCAATAACAAAAGTATCTTATTTCTTATTAGTCTTCAAAAATAAAAGATTTGAAGGGCTAGAGATAATAATTTCAGGATGTCTTCCAATATCTAAATGTATTTTGTTTAGCATTGTGAAATACCCATGGAAAGAAAGTCTAGACTTTAAAAGAAATAAAAACTAACCAATCTATTGGCATGTCTTTATAAGCCATCAGGTCTAAGTTTTCAAAGAAAATTATGGATATAACTTGCAGGTAAATAACTTATTACAGTTACAATCTTCTGCCAATGTGTACTGACAGGGGACAGGTTGCACGAAAAATAATGTCCCATTCAATTTAGCTTGATAGACTGATATATGCATGAATCATCAGAGTTGAAACCAAGTTAAGAGACTCCTGTGTCCTTAAGCAAATTATGATGGCAGTCTTAAGGTGGGCAAAGTGTACATTGCAGCAGAGAATTATGGCCCAGTTGAAATGAAATGTAAAATGTAAATGCATGTAAATGCACATTTAATAGTACTTTTTATGTATTACTTAGTGATTTTCAATGGTATGTGCTTAATATTTTTGCTACCTACACATTAGGCAAAGAGATGTAAATAATTTTGAAAAGAAGACGAGTGTACAATGCAACATTGTAGAGGTACTCTATTTCAGTGTGTTCAACATCCCCCAAAAATGCCAGAATTCCCACCCGGGTGACAAGGTGGTTTAAGTGCTATTTAAGGGCAGGAGGTGTGTGCCCACTCAGTAAGCATGTTTTTTTCCAGGTAGTACACATGTTCCATATCTGTATTTATCATTGCATTTCAGATGGGAACTACAAAACTGGAAAGAAAATGTAATGAAACTGCTGCTGTAAATTATTCCTTTCGGCATGTATTCAGTTGCTAAATACACATTTCTTCAAAACATTTGAATTCAGATGTCTTTACTGTCCCCTCCAGCATATGATGTCAAGGAACATAAAGTTTAGGAAATGTGGAGACCCAGTCAGGTGGCTACATAATCAGCTCTCAGATTTCCACATTGTGGTCATCTGCGAACCGGGTTCTATACTTATGGTGATTATGTGAAATGTTATGGCCTTTAAATTAAACATTGTTGTTTTTATGTCATGCCTAAAGAGAAAGTATGGGGATGAAACTCTACAAGGTGTCATTATCATAATCATTTTGGTTTTATTCAGGACCTACAATGATGTCTGCAAATTTGTTATTGAAATCGATGATCCTGAAGGTTATAAGCAAGAATTAACATGGGGTGAATAGCATAATATTTTGAAATCTTTGTTTTATGAATTCACTTTTGACACACAATTTGATTTCACTTTAATGGAAATCTTGCAAGTTTCATGGCTTAGTGTGTCATAAGGTGTTGAATATAACTGGCCTAATGCCAAAGACAGCCATCCTTTCTATTTTAACTTTGTAGCAATTATTTTAAAAAATCAATGTTTATATTTACAAAATAACATGTTTCCATGAAGAGGAAAACATTATCTTTCAAAAAGTCTGCAAAATAATATTATTTTATTTATAACAATTTTTTTATACTTAAAGAAACATACATTTGTTGAGTTAATATATTAAGAGGAGCTACAAATGAAAGAGAGAATGAAGCCACAGAAATCATGCTTCATATCATATGACCATTTTTATAGTCAACCTGACCAAGAAAAGAGCTTGATTTTCATTTCAAACACACAAGCACACACAGGCAGAAAAGAAGTAATACGCAAACTATACATTGAAATATAAGACAGATTTGTCCAGATGAATAGAAGAAGGGAGATCTGAATAGACAAAATAAGGAGGATGGAGAAGAGGCATGAAAAGTGCTTTTATCTTGGGAACAAGTATTCCAAATGGATGGGGCATGTGGTTCATCAAGAAAAGTAAAATGTCCCACTACTAAGAGTCAAATGGTACATTTGTTCATTTTTTTCCTGGAGTTGGGTTTAGTGCCCTCTATTTGTATCACGCATTCTCATCTGGCACATGTTGTCATGCACTCTGCTTCCTTCCACCCCTACCCACTTTGCTTTCTTTCCTACCTTACCTCGTAATGTTGACCTCTTTTATGTCGACTCAGCTGAAGTCCTCACTAGACAGTGTTCCCGCAACCATCTTCAAACTTAATCTTTATGCCATGATCTCCTCTCTAGGTCAACTGACCTCGCTTCAGCTGGACTTGGGGATTTCACGGCGGAGTGGCTGGGAGAAGACAGCTTCATCAGGTTGACCCCTCTGTGCTCTAACAATTCCACAGATAATTTCTCCTACAGTTCACTTTCCTTCAGCATTACCTCACTCATCTAGTATTAGAATGCTCAGCCAGAGGTTCCCACATCACCTTGCTAATTTGCAAATAGTTTCTTTGGTTTAAAAAGACTTCACCAAAGATATTAAAATATGAAACTTGTATTTGTTCATGGTTACCCTAGATGGAGTATTTCAGGGCTAAACAATGATGCAAGTGAGTTTAGCATATATAGCTGACAAGCTAAGACTTATTTTTACACACACGCAAAAAACAAGTTTTTAAAAAGTGAGGAGGCCTAGCCACATCTTGAATTTGTCAACTCCACATCACCATTATATTAAACTGTCAAAGTTTTCTCATATAACAAGAGAATGTATTTTATTTCTTTTAATGTAAACATTATACTTGTAGACACACTGTTTATTTATACAGTGCCTACGTACAAGTTTTTATAAATGTACTCAAATCATCACAACTTGGGTAGTTTTAAAGTCTCAACTTTCATCCTTTGTACATTTTGCTGAAACATTATACCTGAAGTAAATACATTTTTAAAAATCCATGTCTTTTGTGTAGCCCAGTTTATAATGTTTTAACCCTTTTTTATATAAATACATTTATAGAAGCTTAAGCATTTTTAGTCAAAGTTGTGTGTCTAAACACAAACAGCTTTTCCACTTTAGGATTTTTTGTTAATATGCCTCAACTTTGTACATTTTGCTGAAACATTATACCTCAAGTAAATACATTTTTAAAAATCCATGTCTTTTGTGTAGCCCAGTTTATAATGTTTTAACCCTTTTTTATATAAATACATTTATAGAAGCTTAAGCATTTTTAGTCAAAGTTGTGTGTCTAAACACAAACAGCTTTTCCACTTTAGGATTTTTTGTTAATATGCCTCAATTTTTAGGAGGTTTGCATCTTTGAATTTAAAAGACAGTTTTATTAATCTTTAAATATTTTTCATGCAGTGTTTTAAATTACTGATAAACAAATTAACATTGGTCTCAATATACCATTCAATAAATTCTATTTGAATTTAAATACTGAATTAAAATGGTACATCTGTGTTCAAATGTGCATTATTGGCATTTACCAATTTCAGAAACATTATTCATTTTCTTCTTGCATTACTTTTGACCCTCGTGGTATGTTTGTTGAAAATAGTTACATTTTATTTGGTTTGGGAAGAAGGTTAAATTATTACCTAATGAATATTATACTACATATAAAATAAAATCTGGTATCCATATGGAAAAGTGTACTATCAAAGAGTATATTGAATTCTTACAATTATTAAATATATTCACTCAGAAAAGTTTGAGTAAATATTCATCCCAATATTATTACATTTTTATCAAAACAATAGTCTAGTCATTAATATTAGAAACTTGTCACTATTAAGGTTTCTCCTTTAACTTTTTAAACCCTCTAAAATTTAAAAAAAAAACACACAATAAATACCCTAAATTTAAAAATCCCTAATCTTTCAAAAAGTAACATATCCTCTTACCCTAAATGGAGATTGGAATATAATCTGAAATTTTTTCCATACTGATCTCTTTCTAAGCTCCTCTTTATCATTAGACAGTGTTTACTAAAATTATGTAATATCAGGTAGCTCTATATTTAACATTGAGAAGTAATATTTTAACTTGCTTACAGGAAATGTTTATGTTTTTATAAAATTATCTGATTAACATCAGTATATTAAATCTATCAATAGAAACTTTAATATATATTGCATTGTATTATGTGTGTGTGTGTGTGTGTGTGTGTGTGTGTTTCAATGAAAATAGTTTATTGATTAGCACCTATTAAAAATCATGTCCATAAAACCATTTACAACTGTCAATAGAAACTTTAATATATATTGCATTGTATTATATATGTGTGTGTGTGTGTGTGTGTATGCCCAGTGATCGAATGGTGGAACAACCAAGATGAGCGGCTGACCAAAATGAGCAGCACTCCCACAGCGAGCTGATCCCTGCAGGCTATGCACCCCACCAGTGCATGAATCCATGCACCGGGCCTCTAGTTTAATATAATAGTAAATAAAATCAATAGAAGCAGAAGTGTAATAAAGCTTTACTAAAGCTTCTGTTTGATGGTAGTATATTAAATTTTTTATATCACTTCATGATGCTCAAGGTATGTCCATGACCTCATTTGATCTCCTTATATGAAGCAGAACAGTTTCATTATCCCAGCTCTGCAGGAGAGAAATACCATAAATGGCTTATCTAGATTTAATATTTAGCAAGTTTTAAGCATCAGATTAAAATCTTTGTATTTGATCCAATTAGAACAGAACCTGTTTTCAACATGTTGCATCATATAGTTGAAAGTAAGTAATATATAAAACTTTTAATAAATTACCAATGCAATAAGCATTATTTTAGTTTAATCATCTGAAAACAATGTATATTTAGGAAAACAATTGTTAACTTGGGCACTTGGTTATATATGATATTATAAGATATTAATTAATATGAAATGTTGGTCAAGTGTTCAGTTATAAAACACTCAAAGCGATGTCTATAATTTACCTCTTACAACAAAAAACATAATCAAAGAAAAAGTACTGATTTCTTTATGCATCTTTCTTAAGTTGAATTCAGGCCAAAAAAGAATATTTTAATTGATACAAATGAGGTTTCTTCACATATTTGATTATATAACCAAAATAAAAACTTTTTTATATATGTATTTATAAAGCCTGTTTTTTATTTTAATTTGATTTTGTTATGATCAATTTATAATTTGAAATGAATTATTTTGTGAAGCAAACTTCAAAATGGTATTTTGATAAAAGTATACAGCTATATCAACTTTATAAATACTTTTGATTAAATTGCTACTTCCTAGTATATAAGTTATATTTTGTATTTACTTGGTACATATATCTAGATGTACTAATTTAAGAATATCAAGTTAAAGGAGTATACAAGAAAATTTCAAAAATTCTAAATTTGTAACAATGACAATTATTTCAGTCATATTATTCATTTGAGCACTTTTCTACATGCCTTTTCCCATAAAAATTCTCCAGATAAATTCTATGGGACACCCAGTTAAAGATAAAGAACTTAGAGTTTATCTTTTATCCTCTCATAAAACTCCATTCAATTAGGATACCAACACATTTATCATAATTTCTAATTAGGTCAACTTTTATTTTCTAATTTTAAGGGCTACTGTCTACCATCATCACCCCAAAGGATGTATTCTAAAAGTGAGTTAGCCAGTTTTTCTGTACTAAGTACTCACTTGTACTTGGTTTTCCAAGTTAGCATTCTCAAGCTTGGAGATGTGTGTGGAAAGAAAACACATCTCTATACATTATTTCATAAACTATATTCCAAAACATGACATAATTATTTTCATATAAGCTCAAATAAACTAGATTACATTAAGTAGAGTTTCATATATAAAAATGGTGAGACATAGTCTAAGCAATTGCTGATGAAGAACTGTCTAAAACAGAATTAAGTTGAAAAACATAGAGTATAGAAGAAATTATATTTCTTGTAATAAGATATAATTTACAAGAAGAAAATGTAAGAGCAGGCATTTATTCATAGTCTGTAAGGAACACATGAAAAAAAGCACTTTCATAATTCACACCTAAAAAGATAATAATTTATGC